AGGACGAACTTTCCCCGTCGACGTCATGTTTCATAGGTCGCCGGTCGAGGACTACGTGGATCAGGCGGTTCAGCAGGTCTTGGCCATCCACGTGTCCATGGACCAGGGTGATATTTTGGTCTTCATGACGGGACAGGAAGATATCGAGGTCACCTGCGAGCTAATTCAGAAACGGCTTGACGCTCTCAACGACCCGCCGAAGCTGAGCATCTTGCCCATCTACAGTCAGATGCCTGCAGACTTGCAAGCAAAGATTTTCGACCGCGCGGCGCCTGGTGTGCGCAAGTGCATCGTCGCGACGAATATCGCCGAGACGAGTTTGACGGTCGACGGTATCAAGTACGTGGTAGACGCTGGGTACAGCAAGATGAAAGTATACAACCCAAAGATGGGTATGGACACTCTTCAGATTACCCCAATCTCCCAAGCGAACGCGTCGCAGCGATCAGGACGTGCCGGTCGAACGGGGCCTGGAAAGGCCTTTCGGCTGTTCACTGAGAAGGCGTTCAAAGAGGAACTCTACATGCAGACGATTCCCGAGATCCAGCGTACGAACCTGAGCAACACGGTACTCATGCTGAAGTCCCTGGGCGTCAAGGATCTGCTGGATTTCGACTTTATGGACCCCCCGCCACAAGACACCATCACGACATCCATGTTCGATCTGTGGGCCCTGGGCGCCTTGGACAACCTGGGAGAGCTAACCACGCTCGGTCGAAAGATGAGCGCGTTCCCCATGGACCCGTCCCTCTCCAAACTCCTCATCACGGCCGAGGAATACGGCTGCAGCGAGGAGATGATCACCATCGTATCCATGCTCTCTGTCCCCAACGTCTTTTACCGGCCCAAAGAGCGGCAGGACGAGGCGGACGCCCAGCGCGAAAAGTTCTGGGTCCACGAGTCGGACCATCTAACGTATCTCCAGGTCTACTCCGCGTGGCGGTCCAACGGCTGCTCGGACGGGTGGTGCATCAAGCACTTTTTGCACCCGAAATCGCTGCGCCGCGCAAAGGAGATCCGCGACCAGCTGCTCGATATCATGAAGATGCAAAAGATGGAGATGCTCAGCTGCGGTATGGACTGGGATATCATTCGCAAGTGTATCTGCAGCGGTTACTACCACCAGGCGGCCAAGTACAAGGGCTCCGGGGAGTATATCAACCTGAGAACCAACCTCGGCGTCCAGCTGCACCCGACATCGGCGCTGTATGCGGGTCACCCGCCCGATTATGTCGTCTACCACGAGCTCATACTCACGTCAAAAGTGTACGTGTCGACCGTGACGGCGGTGGACCCGCACTGGCTCGCTGATTTGGGCGGTGTGTTTTACTCGGTCAAGGAGAAGGGGTACTCTGTCCGGGATAAGCGGATCACGGAGACGGAGTTTAACCGCAAGATGGAGATTGAGGCCAAGATGGCGGAGGATAAGAAGAGGGAGGCGGACCGGGTGGAGGCGGAGAAGGAGAGGTTGGAAAGGAGAAGGACTGGTGGTGGGAGTGCTGCGGTGGCTGGGGGGAAGAAGATTGTTACGCATGGGGCTGTGAGGAAGCCTGTTATCAAGCGACGGGGTAGAGGCGTTTAGCGATTTTTTAAGGGGGTTGGGTAGGAACTATGAATTCTGGGCAGGGTTGAATGCCTCATTGAAACTTGACTTACTTGATTCTCGTTGTGATCCATAGACTCTGTGATTGAGAAAGAGACGAAAAAGAGGGAATGCGGCGTCAGACCAGCGTCATTATATAATTGGCAGGATCTGCCAACACTCGACTAAACATCAAAACCGGCGGATGTCCTCGGCCCATATTGACCTCGTACCCCTCGGAGACGAGTGAACGGGAACATCGAGGTTTCTTGCCAGGACTTACCCATTATCACCATACCTTTGAAGCATAGACTCGACAGTGTCAAGTGATCAACTAAGCCGTTCCTTACTACATCGCGGGTCGATCCCATAAAGACCAGGGCGCGATCTCAAGAGTGATTAGAAGTTTGGCACAAACCTGACGCATGACACATTCGCCCCATAGCTGGCTGAAGATGTACCACTTGTAGCACCTGATATTCATATAGGACACTTGGATTGCAAGTCATATGCCTGCCTAGTTGCCCGATATGGCTCCCGCCGTGACCAAGAGATCCCAGACGGTCGAATATGAGTGTTTGATGGTCATGAGTGACCCTAGGGCATCTCTCGTCCGCTAGAACTGGCTGCCTATTTAAGAGATTCATCCTCTTCGGAAGCGGAACTTTTCTCCTTAGTACGCTGCGCGCGGTACGCCTTTGCCATGCTAAAATGCCCGAGCGGTATCCCGGAATTTACTAAGGTCTGGGGTTTTGAAATCGATGCGTATCTCGGGCTCACTTCAAGTTCGCTACTTAATATATATATATGCCTCTAGAAGACGCCGTCTTTCTTTAATACCAATGTATTCCATGAAGCCTAGCGAATATCCACAAGATAAAGGACAGCGAGTGAAATGCGAGTATAATGATAAGACCAAGGTAGATTTGGAATATATTGTAAAGCTTGCTGGTTCATATGCAACAGGAGCTTTGTAAGAATACAGTCCGCTCGCGCCAAGTCCCTAGGTTACTTCAAGACCAGGTTGTGTCTATTTGTTAAGCTTTCAGTCTTGTTCCAGGGAGACTTGAATGATCCTTTATAGTTAACAAGGCAAGCGGCAAGAATCTACCACGGGCTTTGGCGCCAGAGGATTGGCTCGAAGGAGCAGGTGTTGGAAGTGACGCTATGTGTTTCAACTCTCTCTATCTCTACCGCTATTATTGAAGAATCACCGTGCCCACTCGTATTGCCAGCAACTCTGTGAAGGGACTAGTTGCTGGCGTTTCAAAGGAAGATAGAGATCCCTTTGCTGAAGTAAAGGTTTTCAGTGTGAGAATAGGGCTCCCAATCACTCTCTGGCAAATCAGCAGGCAGGTACCTCTCTCGTGCTTCGGAGGAAGTGGATGCTTCTCGCGATGCGCCACGGACCTATCTGCTGTAGTGCTGTAGCACACCTCTAGCTCTAGGTGCTGGATAATCTTGAAGTTTTCGAGAGCGGGCTTGACATTGGGCAGCCTTCGGGTGGTGAGAACCGATAGCTTAGGGGAGAATACCTCTTACCCCTTCCAGGAGGGTCAGCTGAGCACCCTGCACTCGGGAGCTGGACATGACCAACTCTCTGAGTCCAGATGCACACCTCAAGGACTGAGTCAGACGTCCAGGTACCGTCAGGTTCTCCCCCCAAGCGATGCGCGCCACGTGACTGGGACGCCGTCTTTATCTAGTGCTTGATATGTATTCCGCCGATAAACCTTACGAGACAGTGTGGATGTAGTACAAGCGCTGATAGATCGATACGGTTTTAGGTAACATGGCTTAGGTTTACTGCAGAAGTATTGCTTAACCCCCTTGATTCTGAACATAAGCGCTCCGAAATCTCCGCTCGTATTTGTTGAAGCAAAAGACATCGGCAAGATCTGTGGCCTTGTTCCATATGAAAAGATATCTCGGATCTTGAAGCCTTTTTATACGAGCTATGTTGTCTATGTAGCCTCCAGGGAGACAACCCCCTGGAAGAAGAGCCAAGTCTTGTAGGCAAATAATTCTGAACCGTAAACTTGCGGTCGTCTCCCGAGATAGCTGGAATGACGTTGACGCACGGTGGTGGTGCTGTTCACGATTACACGTTCGTACGGTTCTCATCGTATCTAGATTTACCCAAGGGGAGGGCTTTGGTTTGATTTGAAGCATGGTCATTCTTTTCCGTTCTCTCTGATCAAGAACGAGGGCAAGTTTCCCTAATCATACATTCGCCGCAAGTGTAATTGATACCCTTTGAAGCCAATTGTCACTGGAAAATGCTCGCCGTATCACTGGTTGAGCGAAGTTACCTTTAGGCAGAGAAAGTTGAACAGACACTTCAGGATTCTACAGCTGTAACATAGGTAAAGTGCCGTTGTGTTGCTCATTCTCACCATTCAAGGTCTTCATACTACCTCAACACTCTTCATCTCAAACAAGTCGCCCAGGCTGCAACTCATCGCCGAACGGCGAAGTCCTTCTCGTCTGGAACAACATCTCTTTCCTCGTGGTCAAGTTTGACGACCCTAGCCGATCTCGGTCCCTCGTCAATATCCTTGAGTAATTTCTGTAGCGCATCCTCGTCGCCTTGCGCTTCACCCTCAACCTATGTTTCAATCGCGTCAGCAGCGCACTTTCAGAAGCGCAATATCTTGTCGAACCCCCATCGCAAAAAAGCCAAACGCGGAAAATGCCTGTCAACGGAAACAGAACAAGTATTGAGAACCGCACCTTATTGTTATCTGTATTGCGACACCATCCCGTAAGTCTGTACTCGGTGGCTTTCTTCTGCGTAAAGTACCTGGCAACCGCATCGCTTCGTCAATGCTATACTCTCAGGAAAATTGATAACGTCTTCAATTCAATTGACACCAAACGGGTTCAATTTTTTTTTTTGAAAAAGCCGTGTTGTCGGGGATTTTCCATCACATACCGGAATCCGACACCTAGATTTGTGACGTCAGTGCGTCCCGGGATAGAAAAGTCACTTATCACAAGCTCACACCCCTCCTCCTTATCCAGATAAAAGCTCGGAGCTCATGTGGAGGGGAGGAGGGGCTCAATGGGATAAGAAACGTACCTTGTACTTGACCACCATGGGCCAGAAAGTATATCTACTTTTCGTCAGTATGTCTAATTCCTGTCTTGGGAGGGATCGCGTACTCTCTTCGCCATGTCGACTTTGGATCTCGTTTCCAAGGACTGTAGATGAAGTTGCAAGGGTTCAGGACGTGAACATGCACAGAGGTCAAAAGTAGCTCGGAGCTCCCCTCGAGCTCCTGTGACATGCCATGGGCAAAGACAAAAAGCGGGAACCAGCTGGTGGGGGTCGTCGACAACGATGACATCCATGCCAGACCACGCCATGTCTGCAACGTTATCGATAGGCTAATCCTCGGCATTCTGGAAAGGTGGAGTTTCCTGGTGCGGCCTCAATCGCCAGGCGAATTTGCGCTTTCTGTCCACGTCGAGTATCACAACATACACATTCATCCTCTTCACATCTTTAAATCCAACGTCCCAAGAGCCGCATCCAGGACACATACCACCTCTCACCCCCGCGTATCCATATACAACAATCGCGCGCCCCGGCGCCCACGTTTACAACATCATGGCGTCACCCGCCGACGAAATTCCGACCACAGACGCAGCTCCGGCCCCGGCCCCGATCCTGTTCCGCGCAAACAAGAAGCGCAAAGCAGGCCTCCGCCAACGCGCGGCATCGCCTACCGAAGACAATGACAACAACACCGCCTCGAAACCGCACTCGACAGCAGAAAACGCTACGACACCGGCATCAATCACCGAGACCACCTCCACCGGCGACGATGGCCCCGAATCACACATCCCCTCCGCCCTCCGCCACCGCTCTCGCAAGCGCCTCAACGGCGTAGGCTTCTCCGCCCGAGGTTCGTCCTCGGCTACTACCACCACCAACACCGCTGCTGGAGACGACACAGATCCCATGAGCCTATCATCATCGCGCGCCCTGGTTCCCGCCCCAGTACAAACCCCAGACGAAGATCCTCTCATCGCAAAGCGCTTCGCGCCGCAAACCGGCGCGGCAGCCACCACAATCGTCAATAAACACATGTATGTATGCCCCCCTCCAGGGATTGCCAGCCAAACCATGTACCCGACGCCAGAGGCTGATCAAGCAAGGATGGAATACATAGAATCGCACCTCTCTAACCGCAATCCACCACCACCATCATCCGAACAATCAACCTCCCAAAACCAAGCCGCCGCAACGAATCCGTCAGCAACAACAGCAAGCGCCTCCACCGAGACCCCAGACCCCAAAAACCACCCCATCATGCAAGGGAAACTCATGGAAGTCGACCTCGGCGACGAAGTCCGCGCCCGGAACCAAGCCATGACGGAAAAAGCAGCCCGCCGCCTCCTAGGCGAAGCCGTTGACGACGACGGCAGCGGCCACGGCGGCCGGCGAGCCAAGAAGCCCCGACTCGGCAGGGACGGCAAACCCTGGCGGTCCAGGAACAGGCGTAACAGCGACGACGTCAAGCGGGACCAGCTCGTCGAGGAGATTTTACGTGAGAATAGACGTGAGTGTCTTCCCCTCTCTGCTCCTGCTCCATTTCTCCTCACTTATCCCAAAAGCATATGCTAACACGTTCCCGATTCAGTCGACGTCTACGACGTGCCAAAACCACAAGAACCTCAAAACGACGGCGACGGCGACGCAGACGACCGCATCGCCGAGGAGTTCCGGCGCGAGTTCATGGACGCCATGGTTCAGCGCCAACAAAAGAAGAAGACGGCAGCGCCAGCGGCCCGCGCCGGCGCTCGCAAGGCCGACGAAGAGGTTCTCAAGGGTCCGAAGCTGGGCGGTAGTCGCAACGCTAGAGCCGCCATGCGCGATTTGCTCTTGAAGAAGGAGAAGGAGAAGGACTCGAGGAGATGATGAGCCCCAGACCTCCTGCTTCTTTGTATACAATAGTGACAAAAGACGAGTTTGGATGATACCCATGATCAGAAAATTGGACATTACAGCTTAAAGATTGATTTGAATTTCATGATTGGCATCTATAAACCAATTGAGTACTCCTAAAAGCAGTCTGCCTGTACCCACCCAGAGAAAATTATCAATGAATCAAAAGCAAAGTCATAAGGACGTGCAAGCCAACCCTTGATCCTGTAATCGTTTTGATATCCCATACTCTGCCCGTAGCGTTAAGAAGAAAGAGAGAACCACACCTATCCAAGACTGTCACGAGTCACTAGTCCCTATAATAATGTAAAGAATGTGGAGTAACCGGCTCGTGAAAAGCTCTCTGTCTAAGCTCTCGCGAATTTGCAACGCCGGGGGGTATTATCGATGCGGTGAATCCTTTATGCCAAGCTTGATGCTGTATATGCGCATTGGCCCCATCCAAGACGCCATGTGTGATTTCAAATGCAATTTGTGGGCCTCAGAGTTCGGACATTTGTGTGTAACGTATGCATGATGGTCGTTGAGAAGACATAATCACCGGATGTCAAGCTGGAATGGCTTGAACCGGCCGCCGATTGTTGCGCAACGAGGGCATTTACGGCGTGCCCCCTGCTCTGCCATGAGAACGTCGACACACGCCTGGCACAGACCGCAGATGCACTCCGTGCAGGCGTATGAGTCTTTGAGAAGTGAAACGCTCTGACAGGCTGCGCAGTAGATCTGAGTATTCTGAGAAGAATAACTTGGTGATGAATCCGATAGGCCTCGCGACTCGATGTGAAAGTTCTCCCCGCTTTCACCGCTTTCAACCGATGGGAATGGGTCAATTGTGTCCTGGCTGTAAGATGGCGGGGTCAAGGCCTGCTGCAATGGCGAGGCTTGATAGTTCCCTCCAGCTGTCGCTGATGAAAATCCATGGTGCTGGAATGGCGGCAAAGAAGCCCTGTGAATAGAAACTGGTGATTGAGGCATCTGGTATGGAGGTCAGAGATTGTAAAAATGTGAGTGCATGAGAGGTTCTTACTGGAGTCCTGTCCTCATCGATGTCGCCGGCAGCAGATGCGGCTTGATCGGCGGCATCGATGAGATCTTCCCATCTCTTCCCATAGTCTGCAGAAGGTTCAGCCGATAAAGCCTTACGGTCATTGTTACCTGGTCTAAGCCGTTCGTCGTTTTGGATCCGCCGAAGCCAGTCTGCTGCCGAGCCGCGAGACTTTTGCTTCTTGTGGTGCGCCTCTCGGCCTCTCTTGGTGACGGACTGCTTCCTTGGTCGGGCAGGTCCCACAGCAGGCCGCTGGATTGGGGGTAATGTTGAAGAGCGACCGGGGGGTGAATTCGCCAGAATTGACGGAAGAATATCCCGCGGCCGACTTGAGTTCATAGCTGGGAATGGTTCGCTAGTAATGTCGTTATTCGTTAAGTGCAGCGGTGGCAGCTCAATTGATGTCCTTGGAATGCGGCGTCCCTCCGTGTCTGAGTGCCAACCCTAGTAGTGCACGTTTGATTAGCAATTGATGTCGATGTTGTAAGTCAGTCAGGAGAGGATGTTCTGCCTCACCATTTCCTCCCATTCGGGTTCGACTTTATGGCCGTGAAGCTGAGCCAGCGCCGCAGCAGCACTAGCGGCGGGGAGCATGGAACCCACGGTGTGATCGTCCATAGTCCGGGGCGTGCCCGGATTGCTAGTATCGTACATGTGGTGGTCGTGATTGAAGCCTTGAAGATGGTCAATCTTTGGGGGGTAGCCCTGGATTGAGAGGGACGAACCCTGAGGAACAGAAGTTGCGCTTGGCTGCATTGGTGGACGTTCGGACGGAGGGGTGTTGATCATGAGCATAAAGCTTTCCTCGGTCGCTGGAAGCTTCGAAATGTAGTGTTCTGGATGAGCGCGGCGAATGTGTTCTTGCATGGAACGATATCGTTTTTCCTATAATTTCATCGAGTGTCAGAGTAGCGCTCAATTTTCTCTTGGTCGAGTGGATTTTTTGCTACAGTAATCAAAGCTCTCTCTGTGCACTGGGTCCAAGTAGAGAGGTGCAGCAGCGCAGACGGGGGCAGTGTTGGTCTGCCTTGTGGCGAAGAGGGCGTCGTGAGGGAGCAATGCGGCAATGCAGCACGATGAGACTTACACCGATGCATCTTTTCCTACAGCTAGATCCATCCTGATTCCGCAGAGGACAGACGACCTCATTGTTGGAGTCGGTGATTGAAAAAGAAGACGTGAGAGAAGATCTGGGCGGCATCTTGACCCCACCATGCGCCTGAGGGCTATTATCGATACTGAGCGGGGTGAGGAGCGATAAGTGCTGTTGCTGTTGTAGCGTATCGCGAAGCGAGGTCAATTGAAGGTGACTGGATAAGTTGGAGCTTGAGCATTTGACGGTTCAACAAAAGGCTACGATATTCGGTGAGCAGGAGTCTGGAGCTCTGGAAGCTCTCGTCTTGAGGCGTGTTACAAAGAGTGTTTCGAAGAACAAGGTGTAATGGAGGGGGAAGATTCAGGAAAGGACGGGGAGGAAGAGGAAGAGAAGGAACCTGATTTTGGGGGGCAGAAGGGAAGTTGACCGAAAGCAGTAAGTAGCGGTAATGGGGAAAAGAGAGGTACGGGCTAGGTAGGGGTGTGGCTCGGTCTGGTGGGTATCTTATGGAAGGTACCCAGGGCAGGTCCAGGTCAGGTCAGGTCAGGACAGGACAAGCTACCTTGCCTTGCCTTGCTGACCCAGGTACATCATGGTCCCAGCCCAGTCACATAAGGTCAGGTATTACGCAGCATGATCCGTAGCCAAATGAGCCTCTACTTCCATGGCTAGGTTAAAGAGGTACGGACGGATAACAGCAAGGTGTGTGAGCAAGGAGGGAGCTTGGTTTTGGGTCTGGCAAAACCTTGCCTGTTCTTCTCTCAGTCGCCCATGTACTCACTCTAGTCTTGGACATTGGAAAGTAGTCAAGTAGGTAATGGCTGAATCGACGAAAGCAAGACAAGGCCAAAGCCGCCGACGAATACTTACAGCTCCAATCTTGATCTACCTATGTTGTCGGACTGCCTTGCCTATCTCGCGCCGAAAGTGTTGCCATGATAATTGAGTTGCGCGCTCGTACCTTTTCTGTGCCTGGGCCTATGCTGCTTATGGGCTTACTTCTACGGATACAGCACACCTGAAGCAGATGTGATGAAAGATGCAGATGAAAAGGGATATTATCAGCCGCGAATAAGGAGACGGACAAGCGAGGGTGTGGCCGGGAGGTACAAGGAGCAAGGAAGTAGTCGGTTTGGGGGAGCGACAGAGGTGAACAGCTGACAAGCTGTGAGGTAAGACTTGGTATTCGTCGCATGGTTAGGTGAACCTAAGTCCACCTCAAGGTTGGGCCCGTGGCAGACGGCGTCAATGTCACCGGTCGCCAGACCGTCAGCTACGAGTAATCAACATTTTACCATCTGCCGCTGGTGGATGGAGGAGAGCGCTGTTCTGAGGGGCGCCGGCGGTCGGTACGGTGACGCGAAATGGTGTAAGTGACCAGCCAAGCAGAGGCTTTGAAGCTTCATCACCACCAGCTTCAGAAGGATCTAGTCGGCTTCGCCAGCTCGTTGCATGGCAGTGGCACGGGTGTTCGCCGAGGCCGAGCTTTCCATGACACTGGGCTCATCGAGCTGGGCTGTTGAAGGTGGAAACATGTCCGATGGACTAAACGTATTGCTCCGAGAGACGAGTAACAAGATGTTTCTTCTTGAGTCAGTCATTCCGCCTCTTCTCTTTGTTGGACGAAAAAAATTGCACCACGAGGTGCCTGACTTGTCCAAGAATGGCGGCAGCCATGACCGCGAGTCTCTCTACTTTTGCTTCCGCTTCCGCTATTGCTTGGTGCTTGAAAGATGCGGCATACTGGGAAAATAACGACAGCAGCTTGTTGCTCATTCAAGGTACCGCCAGGCGACGGCGTCATCTTCCAATGACAGGAGGGCAACCCGAAAGCTCGAGGGGTCAGCAGTGGGTTGGATGGAGAGCATTCCACTTGGGAAGCACAGGGGAGCATAGGTACTCCGTAGGTAGTGAGGTAAGGAAAAAGGTCGGCAAGTCGACCCGCCGACAATGTCAAGAGCCGACAATTGGTTGGCGTTGGTGACAGAGATCAATGACTCGATCGGGGATCGAGTGTGTCTGGTGGATTGGATTGGCTTGGTTGACCCCAGTGTTAGAGGGAAGAGGGGGATCAAAGAAGAAGGGAAAAGGAGGACAAGAGGACGAGAACGAGGCAGGGGGCGTGGATGCAGAACCAGGCAAGATTCAAGTCGAGACAATCGGGTGGAGGACTTGCACGGCGGAGGAAGGAGGATGAGGTCGAACCGTCGAGGATCCCACTGAGAAGGAGGGGGTGTGACAGGGAAGCAATTGACAACCACACACACAACCTGTGGTGGACGAGGAGCAAGTACCTACATACTACGTAGGTAACAGTGAGGGGCAACCTAGAGGAGCAACAGCAAGAGCAACAGCAAGGGGAAGAGGAAGGAGAGGAGGGGGGTGGGGTGTGAGCAGGGCAGGAAGTGGGCTGCTTTGCTTTGCTCTTTCTTTTCGGAGCTTGCGAGTGGTCGACAGAGGAAAGAGGCCCCTGCCACATCACAGGGGAGCTCTTGAAAGTTGAGCGAGCTTGCCTGTGCCTGCCTCTTTTCCTTTCCTTCGTGCCTTCCTTACCCACGGCTCAGGGCTAGCAGTACCAGGAAGTATCTCGCAAAAGTCTGTCACCACTGACCCCAAGCTTGGCCTTTCAGAGCTCTTCGCCTTGCCTTGCCCCACCCTTCAACCGACCGTTGGCAACTCCCGTCGCTCCACGATCCGAACTTGGAAGCAGAATCATGCCTTCCATAGAGTACGGATACCTTTGTGAAAACTCAAGTCTTCTTATGCCAAAAAAATAAAAAATAAAAAAACAAATGCTTCACAGATACAAGCTCCGAGGTCAAGGCGAAAGGCTTCTTGTTGCTCGCATGTCTTGCGTCTTGCCTTGCTGCGGCGTGGTGGTTCTGCTACTCGGTTGCTTGCATTCGCCCATCTCACTCCTCCTCATCCTCCTCCCGCAATATAGCGGAGCTGGACCCCTGGTTCATTCTCGACTCCGCTTACTGGTCGGCCGTGGTCCTGACCTCGGTCAACGTCTGCCCGCTGCTTGGATCCCCGCTGGTCGTCACGTTGACATCCCAGCTAACGGGTAGGGGCCCCAAGTGGTGTACCTAACTCTGTCACTCTCTCCATTCGTAGCTCCCCTGGGCAATCACAGACTCCAGAGATACGCTGTACCCGCAAGTGCGGATAGCATTGCGCGTGTACCTCTAAGCGAAGCGAGGCTTTCTTTTGACTATGCTGAGCTCTTTCCTGTATGGAGTAATGCTTTCTGGCATGGCTAACATTGTGCAAAACGCAGTCCAGCATAGGTACCTTAAGAGAGAGCTACCCAACTCTTTACGCATGAACATGTACAGTATTGGTCGTTGCTTGCTTGCTTCATTTGATCGGTTCAAGAGCTAATTTTACCGCTTTGCGATAGCATTGCCGTGGCCAGATGAGGAGGCCCAGACCAAATCTCCGGAATAAAAGCGATGAACGGCCCTTCTACAAGGAGAAGCATGATCGGGGCTGCCGTTGGGCATTGGGAACGGGGGACACGGGCCAGCGGAGGGCCAGCAGAGACAAGAAGGTGTGAGAGACCCGGAAGAAAAACAGAAAGATGGGCGAGGATGAGGTTGCTTCTGCCTCGTCGGGTCGGCATCAGGCAGCCCGAAGCACCTGCCACCAAGACACCGCCCACATCATACACTACTCAGTACGCTACTTCGTACATGCAGGGCCCTTGCCTTGCCTTGACAAGTTGGACGCATTTCTTGCAAAGGTGAACCCTGGAGCTGCAGCAAGTCCGTGGTATCTGTAGCGTCTGCAGCGCCTCCAAAGCACGCATCGGTGGAGACTCTACCCCCCCGACCCGTGGACGTTGGCGCGAATCGTCTGTTCCACAAGCGGAGAGGGAAGGCGGGTTTGACGGGGTGGAGATTGGGACAGAGCTGTGGAAGAGTGAGAAGGAGAAGAAGACAGTGAATCTGGACGGATACACGCAGCACGCCTGGTGTGTGATCCGTACGGTGAAGGTAAGGGTAGATGTGGATATCTGCAACGACGAGTCTTTTTTTTTTTTTTTCGTTCTCTTTTTTTCCTGTAAGCAATACTTTTCCTTTGTCCTCTTCTGCGATGCAGCTCCATTGCCGCTACACTAGGATTACGCAGGGCCCAGGGAGCTCTTCGGCACGTCAACCTGCCTCTTTAATCCACAGCTACCTTGCGCTATCATGTCTAACCGTTACGAAGCTGCCGGATATCTAGATGTCAAGCGAAAGAAGGTGAATTTGCTCCTGTAGAAATAGTCAGAGTCATTACGGATAATGTATCCTACAAGTACTTCTCCGTCGAGCACGTACGAAGCATGAGCAGCGTAAGTAGGTACCTCACGTTTTTGCTCTCTTTTTTTTTCTCCTTCCGCCCCATGCCGCGATGGGCAAATCTGTTGCGCAGACAAGGGGGGTACGTACTGAAATTGCCAGGGAAGGTCCCCACATTCGGCGCGAGGACCCTCCAGTTCTTCGCCTTACATCCTCTTCACCTCGACCTATCAACAATCGGCAGAGTCTATCCAGCAACGAAAAAAAAAGTAAACCAAAGAAAAATTCAACTTCCAAAGCCGGCCGGCCGACACCAGAATCCGATGTTGAGATCAGAAGATAAAAATTAAACCTGCAGGCTGACCCGATCCACTTTGGTCATCCCTCGCCAAACCAACCTCTTTGGAAATAAGCACAAGCTGCCAGCTGCAATCCGAAACCACGGCTTTTCACCGAGGTGGCGCCTGCTCAAAGAAGAGAGAGAGAGAGAGAAAGATCTCCTCCAGCGAGTCCCCAAAAGCCTTGTTCAGATGCCGCCCTTGCACTCCCATCTCTCTCGGCCTTTTTTACCTCCTCTCGGGCCATGTATCAGCTTATTCGAATAAGTCAGACCGGATTTCCAATGGCAGGCAGTCAAGCAGTAATTATCCGTATGGAAAACCATGGCACATGGCTAGTCAGCCCTCTCTCTCTCTACTTCGTAGCAACGACTGACAAGCTCACGGCCCATTGCACCTTGCCCTCAGAACTCCCAATTCGCGACCATATTTTCCCCTGCCACACACTCTTTTCTTGCCACTTACACCCCCCCTGGACCCTGACCGACTGGGCGGCTGGCACTTCGGAACCGCAGACAGCACTCGCAGCTAAAGCGGGTATTGATTCAGCCATGCTCCCTAGAAGCACTAAAGTGACATCACCCTGCTTGAACTGGGTCGTGCTCTCTTCTGGCCTTTGTTTTCAATAACTTTTCTTCAGGGAAGAAGAAATGATTGGCCCCTGAGCTTCACAGACATGAATCTCGACTCATCCGTGGACTCGGTTACAGAGTCATTTCATTGATTGATGCTTAGGCACGGGTGCCATGCAAGTAGCACTTTGCTCTTCAAGTATACTGTAAGTCGAGACCCTCAAATCGGACCAAATCGGGGGCACCATCTCGTGATGGCCCACGGAACGTTACACGAACGCCTCCCCCTATGCCGCTGGCGGCTGCATCGCTCAAGTACCTACCCTAGCAGGAGCTACCTGGTCAGGCAGGTCTAGGAGGCACTTGTTAGCCGCAGTTCGAATGGTTTCATGAATACCGAAATGGCCCAAAAGAGGACCAACCAGGTACTGTCACCGAGAGCAACGAGATCGAGCTTGGCGCTGCTGGGAAGAAATGAAGAAAGCGGTGAATTAACCCCGCCTTTCTGCCCCCTCTGCCGCCGCAAAAGTCATTCATGAACGGGCCTAATTACGAGCTGATGCCGCACCCAGCGGCCTGTCGCATTTCGGTGACAGTCACCGCCCGTCCTGTCCAGCACCTCCTAGCTGGTACCGGAGAGAGGAAAGGGGAGGCACGGAGGGTGCGGGGGATAAGGTCTTGGACACAAGCTCAACCGGCTGATAAGAGACCGCCAACCAACCACAAGCGATGGCTGACAGCTTTGACGATAAAGCTCCCTCCAAGATAATCCCACGCGGCTTTACCAGAATCAGAAAACCCTACAGAATACCACCTGGAGCTTAACCCCCCCCCTTGTCTTGTCGAGCTGCTACTGCTCGAGGGACTGTGGCCGTTCACGAATTTCGAGCGCCAACATCTAGAGCCTTCACTAAGACTGCAGACAGAACTGACAGAATCGTGCCAGCTGCGGCGCCGCGTACACTCGCACAAGTACCTGCTTACGAGTAAGGTAACTTGCTTGGGGAATATTCCCGTCAAAGACTTGTTCGCCCAAATTACACATTTATTTCGGGTTATTACGAACCTACGCTAGTCTTAGGATACGGCGAGCTCGCACGGGTCCGAGATTTCTTGATGTCGGCGGAAATGGCCCGAGGGCTGCAGCAACAGCCACTCAAGCCTGTCTCCTGTCGTGCTACAGACTCACAGTTCTCTAGCGGGTGACTGGTAGCAATCTACCTAGTGAAGATTGAGAGAACCCGAGACAAGTTCGAGAAGCACTCCTTTGGTGCCTTTCACATGCATGCTGGGACTTTCTCTCTTAAATTTTTTTCTCCGTTTTCTTTCTTACACTAGTACGGAATCTTCGCCCAACCGTCCATCAGCCTCCTGATCTGCCGCCTCGCTCCCTGTCTTCCGAGACACGGCGGTCAATCGAGAGTACGCCTAGTCGGAGACACCGACTACGTGCTGTCGTGACCTCGCAACAGCAACATTTTCACCGACCTTCAAGCCAAGCTTCAGGGATGACGACATTCAACTGCCAGACGGAGGAACCCAGGAAGCTTTCGGTTGGATTACTGTGCCTCGTCAGCGTCCCGGTGCACACGAGACACAATTCGAACCGGTCTATCCACACCTCCGGCCTCCTATTCGACTCACGGCGTCTCGTTCTCAAGGGACAGGATATCCCCGACAATGTCAAAATCCGAATAAGGTCCGCTGTCCCCAGCTGTAGCATGACCTCTAGACTCCATCATGTGGATGACAGATGAACCATAGGCCCACCGCTTACCACGCTTTGTGAACCGTCCCTGACTCGGCCTCTTGAAAACGGTCGAATTCCTGCTTCCGGATCCCCCTCTACCAGAACCAGAAACAACCCATGGCTTCTACACCCACTTCTAGGGCAGAATGGCAACCTACTGACGTCTTCACTACATCCTGAAGTCAGTGTGGAAATTTTCTAACTCACCGCCAGAAACACTTGTGAATGCGGTCGGGACGACAATGGGACAGTCATCCCTTGCCTCCTAAGGGGTAGCCGGGACTGCACCAGCCGCAACAGCCGGCTGTCAATCCTGCATGAGGTGCACAACGCACGTCTAGGCTTCAATGTAAGCATCTCCATTGTCTTTGCACCCAAGTCGGCGGACCGCTGCCATCTTAACATCTGGCAACTCGATTCGACTTGAATCTCCTTTGCCCTGCATCGTCCGAATTCGACCTCGTCCAATCAAACCCCACCATCTTCTAGATCCCAAACAAACTTGTCACAAGTGCTCGTTGATCAGCCCCTTGAGACTTAGCGCACAGACCTTGGAGATGGGCCTTTGCTACCAAGAAGGTCTATAGAAACTCGACTGCTTCGACTGCGTCGACTGCGTTGACTGCTTCGGCGAGTGATGCTGGCTTTTTGACCAGCGACATCTGGTGTGTAAACGGGATGATGGGGGATTTTCCAAAGACGCTTCGCCTGACTGGACCGGAAAGAAGAAATTGTGCCTACGGAATCTGCAAGGGACGCACCTACAAGTTTCTAGACCAAAAGAATGGCACAGCCTCTAGAGTTTCAGCCTCCGACCTTGACCGAACTTGGCGACCTCTCCAAGCAGCCCGTAGCCAGCCGTTCACACATAGCGGTCGTCATATCCTCATCGGCCGGGCCCCCGGAAGTCTGAGCGCCTCGCGTTAACTTGCCCTTAGCCTATTGATCTGGTTGAGATCCGACCACAATGCTCTGACCCTCTCTCTCGAGCAGCCAGCTTGCGTTCGCGGACTGGCGAATTGGCGTTACAGGGACCATGTTTCTAATCTGGCCAAGGGAAAGTTTCCTGAAATCGCCTCGCGTTTCCCTAAAGGCCTTCTCCACGTCCGATCATTCACGGCTACGCATCCCCAGAGTTGCGTCCCGACGCGCCCCCCAGACGTGCCCGCCGTCATGGAGCATATCTAATTGACCTCTCTACTTGTTTTCTTCCTTTTGTGTCCGGTTCCCTCTGGCAGACCATTGCTCAACAGCAATACTTTTCATCTTCAAACTGGCCTAGTTGCCGTGTCGTTCGTTCTCGTCTGTTTGTTGTTATACCCTTGCGAGCTATGGCGTTGTCTGTAAAGCAGCTCAACGCGGATGCTTCATTCCACCTCACCTTTGAGCCCATTGTGCCCGAGTCACTTCCCGGCATTGCTCCAAGGCCGTTTAGAATTTTGATGGATCCATGGATCACGGGGCCTTCCACCATATTTCATTCGATCCTCTCAACCGCAACACACAAGGAGTGCCCATGCGTGTGTTCCTTACAGCATCTCCCCGAGCCCGACCTCGTCATCATCAGCCAGCACAAGAGCGACCATTGCAATGAGGCAACGCTTCGCCAGCTCCCCGCCAGCGGCACGCGGACGCTGATATTGGCGGAGCCGGCAGCGGCCAAGGTGATTCGAAGCTGGAAGTACTTCGACAAGGATAAAGTCTTTACGATCCCGCGGTGGGAGGATCCGCAGGCCTCGGGGAAGCAAACCGTCATCAGGGTCAAGGTGCCTCCGTTCTTCCCAGGTGGTGAGCCGGGCGAGGTGACGGTCGCCTTCATTCCACAACGGAGGGACTTTAAAGGCCTGCACGCCGCCGTGGGCATCACGTACCGGCCGCCGCCGACGTGGCCGCGGTTCCCTCACCTCATGACGCCCCCGAGGACGCCAGTCTCGCTGCGGACCGCGGCCAGCGCCTCGACGCCCCAGCTCACGTTGGGGCTGGGGGGATCTCACCATCAAAAGACAAAGAACTCGTCCTCCTCCGCCTACCTCAGCTTGCCGACACCGCCCGAGACACCACCCAGCAGCCGGTCCCTGCGGTCCGTCCGGTCCGCCGCGTCC